AAAAAAAAAAAAAAAAAAAAAAAAAAAAAAAAAAACAACAAAAAAACCCCAAGTATTTTGAAACCTTTTTTACCATGATCTATGAAGTCATTTTTATCTAAGGGAAAAAACAGGAATTCTTGAGAACTTTATACAGGAAACCTTATTTTTTTCCCCTAGTCTTAGAATTCTAAAACAAAATAAATATTTAAGGACATTTTCCATAATGTAAAAGTACTTGCAAAGGTAAAATTCTCTTTCACATTATCTTGTAGATACATAGTTGCTTTCTCCTTGGGCACTGTGGAAGTCCACACGCTTTATTTAAAATATTTGTGAGTCCTCTATGGGACTATTTGTAAATATGTTCTTTTTACTATAGTCTTGAATAAACATTCAATATTATACCACCTGGCTCTGGAATTTCCTATATAATATCAGAAGGAAGCATGCCCTACAATCCTAGAATGATCACATACAAAGCTCCACCGGTAACTTAATCAACAAAATTTGAGAGGTTAAGTGATTCAGGTAAAATTATTTTGTTACTGCCATTTTAATTAGATTTACTAAGTGTGGTATTTTAAAATGCTTTTAAAAAGGAACGCTTAAGTTTTTAACATCTGGAGTCTTTTAACTTACTGCCAAAGGCCCTCCATAGAAGAGTTTAGTAACTTAGATCTAACTTCTTGCTCTTCATGGGTGGGGACATCATTGTCATCCACAATCTCTGCTCTAAAGGCCTGGGAAAAGCTAAACTCTGTTAACTTCCATTTAATGTCTGTATTCAGAGGAAATGTGCCCTTATAAAATGGTGAGAAGAGTGGATCACAGGGATCTCTTGGCTCTAAAATACTTAGATTTCATTTAAAAGCATAAGGCAGTTGGAATAGGACACTAAGTGTTTTCTGATTTCTCTTTACTACATTGCCAATCCACATTAGGAACCTTAGTATCCTTCCCTAGAAACTGGCAATCTAACACTGATTCAGTATTAACCAATTTCCAGATAGATAAAGATGAGGAAGTGAATTTGCCCAAAGTGAACAAAAACATCGTTCTTTGAGAAGTCACTTAACTTTCTGGGCTGCAGTTTCCTTAATCTGTAAAATTCGGGGAATTATAATAAGGTGTAGTGTATACCTGAAAAGCTAAGATTTTAAGATGAACTTTTCTGTCAATGGAGGAAGTAGTAATGGTCAGGAAAGAGGTAGGTCTGTAATCTTACTATCTAGGTTCAGCTGCATAACCTTAATAAGATCTATCAGTTTTCTCACGTATTAAGAAATAAAAGTAATCTACCACAGGTTGTGGATTAAATAAAATAATACACATCAAGTATTTAAGAGTACCTGGCATTTAGTAAGGGCTCAAACATTTTAGCTAGGCTTCAGTGATTTGGGAGTAGGGATTTATTTAAGTGTGCAGGGGGGAGAATGGCTCTGGTGGTCCTATTGATAGCTGACACATAGTACTGACTATGTCAGGCACCATTCTAAATGCTTTCCATGTTTTAATTTATGTGTGTGTGTGTAACAATCCCATAAGTAGTGCTACTCTTACCCACATTTCGTAAATGAGGACAGCAGAAATGAAATTAAGTACCTTGCCCAGTTCACAAAGAGCAAGCAAGTGAATGGAGAACATGAACTCAGATGGTCTACCCTCAGAGACCCTACCCTTAGTTGCTCTACTTACAGCCCCTATTCACTATCACTAAGGTGATAGGGACTAGATCACAAAATTTACCAATTAAGCATTACTTTTGGGCTATCGGACTCTTTGGGTTTACATACTAACCACCTTCTAATTATTTCAAGTAAGACCATATTTTAAATTGCTAACAGCAAATGTTTATTCATGATTGAAGCCAAGAAAGGATTTATAAATGCATTTTAATACCTTGCTGATAAAATAGTAACATTCCATCTTCGCAGTCTCGTAAGGAATACAGGAAGATACTGTAAAGGCTTTAATGTGTATATCTATTATAACCAGGTAATCAGAACACACACCTACACGCGCGCACGCACACATACACACACACCACCTACTTTAGTGTTGCACCATACCAACTTTTCAGAAAGGCCATCTCGAAGCTCTACTGGATAGCGGAGTAAATAGCGTTCAAGGTTCAAAGACGAAGGAGTAGGGGAGAGATGAAAGTAGTTAAGCAGCACACATTTCAAAGCCCACTTTTAAGCACAGGACATTATGAATATTAAAAAGAAAAAAAAGATGCGGGGAGGAGGTGGGGAAAGGCAATTTCAGCATTTTCAGAAAGGGCATTTGGCAATATTCAACGCATCAGAAGGCTGTGCTTGGGACCATCCACTCTCTCCAGCTTCTCAAAGTGTTTCCTGGCATTGCGAATGTTGATCAGAGTAGCTGCAGAAGGGATCGACGGATCCGACATAACCACCATCACGTACGTGTTTGACGTGAAGATGTCGATGAAAGCAGCGAAGTTAGAATTCCGAACCTCCATGCTCTGGAAAGAAGCGGCTAATTTACTGCAGCTCAGCTTGAACTGTTTAATGATGTTGCTGATCTTCTCGAACCGGTGGACATCGCGCTGCTCTTTGCACTGGTAATGGGAAATGACCAAGAACGTGGCTCTCTCGAACAGCAGGACTTCGTCGGCCTCGATAATTTGGGCAAAATTCCTTAGGTTCATCTCCAGCTGCTGCACGTTGGGAATCAGCTGATAGACAATACTGGACCAGGCTTTGTAGAGTGTTTCGTCCCAGATGGAGGTTCGAAAACAAGCGCATTCCAGAGGGCGAGACAAACGCCTCAGGTCTTCCTCTCGCTCTTTAAAAATCAGGTCACGCTGATCCTCCTGAACCAGATCCATTTTGTGCACCAGGCAGAAGATTTTGGCATCCGGAGAGTTCTGGAGGATGGCCTCCAGACACGACTGGTAGTAATGCATGTCCTTTTCCAGTTCGCGGCTCTCCACGTCAAACACGTAAATCAAAACCTCGA